GTGAGGGTTAGGGTTAGGGTAATGTTGTGAATCGAGTGGCCCATGGTGGTGGTGGGGTTATGGTATGGGCAGGCGTATGTTATAGACGATGAACACAGGCCACTCGATTCACAACATTACCCTAACCCTAACCCTCACACCAGATACTGACTGGTTTTTGGGCCCTCCCAGACCCCCCCAATAAAGCAAAAATGCACGTTTCAGAGTGGCCTTTTATTGTGGCCAGCCTAAGGCACACCTGTGCAATAATCATGCTGTCTAATCAGCATCTTGATATGCCACACCTGTGAGGTGGGATGGATTATCTCGGCAAAGGAGAAGTGCTCACTATCACAGATTTTTTCAGATTTGTGAACAATATTTGAGAGAAATGGTTATTTTGTGTACATAGAAAATGTTTTAGATCTTTGAGTTCATCTCATGAAAAATGGGAGCAAAAACAAAAGTGTTGCGTTTATATTTTTGTTCAGTGTAGTTAGTGCTAAGGAAAAAGTTCAGGCTTCTTTAGCTTGGATTTCTCTGGGTAACCAGGGGGTGTTCTCTATATGTTGTTCAGAAACAGAACATCCTTGTTCTCTTTGCTGTTATTGCAAACTAGCTAAGTTTCTAACAGCGAAAATGGCGTCCCAACTAAGAGTTAATAGGATATTATGGACGAAGATGCATTTTAACTGTAGGAGCTTGAGCCGTTGGTGTGGTTCTTTTTTTTTCTTCAGGAAAATAAAACATTCCCATGTGTTTTTCCATTTAAATGGTACTTTAATGTTTTCTGTTTGCTCTATGGCTGTGAAACATCAACACGTATGGAACATTAACTTTGAAAATTGCATAATTAGAACTGGCAAAGGTAGAGTTATAGGAGTAGTTCCAGTAAGCCATTTGTATATAATGCATCAAGCCCCGTTTCTCATTTAGTTGAACTTTTGTTGAACTTTTACTTCTTTGCAATCTGAAATTGAAAAAACCGGTGTGTTTGTAGGAATGTGGACAGACCGGAGCTTTGTCAGATGTCCCTCTACGACTTCCAGAAGTTCTTACAGATGGATCAGAAGGTACTGAGCAGATTCAGCACAAATCACAGTAACATTTTCTGTTAAAATCTGCTCTGGGCTCACTTCTGAATCCGTCTCCTCTCAGGAGTCCTGGGCTTCAGATCTGAGTCGTGTCCGAGAATTCCTCACGGGGTACATGAGGGGGGGGGCGCAGCCAGAGCCCATGCTACAGCTCGATGAGGTGAGACAAAGAAAGAGAAACCTGAAAAGTCTGTGCAGAGTTATTCCTGCTTCACAGCCTGGTGTTTCGTGTTTTTAGTTCCTGACGTTCCTGTTCTCTAAAGAGAATTCTGTGTGTGACCCTCAACTGTCTCCTGTCGTTGCTGATGACATGAAAAGGCCGCTGTCTCAGTACTGGATCTCCTCCTCTCACAACACGTACGTCCCAACATTTGTGTCGCAAGAAAAGCATTTTGTTGTATTAAAAGGAGCTTTTGGAAAATAATGGTGATTTAATGACACCACCTTGTCATATTAAGAGTCATCTGAAAAGAAGAGATACTTTTCTCTCTTTCTTTCTTCTCTGTATGTCCAATATTCACATAGCTGCATTGGTTATTTTTTAACAGCCCCAAGCCTACCTGACTCAAAGTTGTGTTTGTGTGTTTGAGATAAAAATATCACATGCTTTGATAAGCAGTATAACTTAAAATCCCAGCTTACATTTGTTGCATGTATCTAAATCCTTTTTCAAAATGATGGTTATTTTGTGGTTCTGTCTATCAAATTTGTGGATTTGTTAATGGCTTTAACAATTATTTTACTGAATAATAAAGATGAAATAACTGACAATAAACTGTGATTAGTCGCATCCCATTGAATGCACATTAAGGTAGAGTTCTGAACTTGTTTCTTTGTTCCTGCTCTCTCAGCTACCTGACAGGTGATCAGTTTTCCAGTGAATCGTCTCTGGAAGCGTACGCCCGCTGCCTCAGGATGGGCTGCCGCTGCATTGAACGTGAGAGTCCTCAACATTTGATATCAAAATTAATAAAAAATGAATCAGAAACAGAAATATGTTCTTGATCCTCGGGGGGAATTTTGGTTAATATCTGTTTAGAGAACAAAAGGTTTTCAAATGAATGTGTGTTTTGTGCTCACAGTGGACTGCTGGGACGGACCTGACGACCTGCCAATCATCTACCACGGCCACACGTTAACCTCCAAGATCAAGTTCCTGGATGTGCTGCACACCATCAAAGAGCACGCCTTCATCACATCTGAGTACGTTTGGAGATGGTTTTCAAAGTATTAATAAATGTTATTTAGATCACATCTGCTTTCTTAAAGGGATGGTTTGGGTTATTGAAGTGGGGTAATGTGAGGTACTTATCTAAAAAACATTATATGATGTTATATATCAGGAGTAGATAGGGAAACATAGAGGAGTAACAGCACAAAAGCAACGCAATGTAAAGTGATATTTGCAACAGGGGCAGAAACCAAGGTCATTTAGTCACCTATTTAGTTACCATTTAACAATGTGTGTGTGTGTGTGTGTGTGTGTGTGTGTGTGTGTGTGTGTGTGTGTAACAGTTGTGTGTGTGTGTGTGTGTGTGTGTGTGTGTGTGTGTGTGTGTGTGTGTGTGTGTGTGTGTGTGTGTGTGTGTGTGTGTGTGTTGGTGTGTGTGTGTGTGTGCAGGTATCCTGTGATATTGTCCATCGAGGACCACTGCAGTGTGGTGCAGCAGAGGAACATGGCCACACACTTCAAGAAGGTGTTCGGAGATCTGCTGCTCACCAAGCCTGTAGACAACGGCGCAGAGGAGCTCCCCTCCCCCCACCAGCTCCGCAGGAAGATCCTCATCAAGGTACGCATACAGACACACACCTACCCCTCTGGTTAAGGGTTGTAGGCTTCTTGCACCATCGCTGAGGGTGGACACTGGGTTAGAGAAAGTTATTTGGTAGAGGAGGGGGAGGCTCAAGCTTAAAGAGGCCCTATTCGGCTTTTTGGGGGTTCCTTTTCCTGTAGTGTATTATATAGGTTTGTATGCATGTGAAGGGTCTGCAAATGTAATGTATCCATAGAAAATTGGAGGAAAGAGCAATGGATTTTACTGATAAGTTATCAACAATTGAAAAAATAGCAGCAGATTAAAACAGTTTTTTTCGTGGCTCGTCAAATATCTGATATAACTTTTTCTTTCTTTTACATTACATAAAAACAAACGGGAATGTCAAACTTCAATAGATCTTTCTACTTTGTCACCGTTTGAGTTGCCCTTGTAATGACCTTATTGTGTTGTGCACTCTTCTTCTGCAATGGTTTTCCAATTAGAGTAATGGTACCACCTGCTGCTTATCTCGATTAACAACTCCTAATAGATTGCATTAAAGGAGTGGGTGGAAACAGACATTCATTTGCATTTAAATTGCAGATTATTTGTAAGATTCAAATAAAAATCCATCGGCCTTGAGCAAAATCTTCGACCTCCATTAATTATAACATGTTGTAGAAAATTCCAACATGCATGCAGAAAATGCTCCCTCATTCCTCAGTGTGGTTAAGTTCCCCCCCTTTATCACAGCACAAGAAGCTGGTGGAAGGCACGCTGTACGAAGAGGTGACTTCAGCCAGCTACTCAGAAAACGACATCAGCAACTCTCTGAAGAACGGCATCCTCTACCTGGAAGACCCCATCGACCACGTGAGTGTGTCCGGCTGCCTCACACACACACAGTCAGTGTGTCGTGGAGTGTTACTGAAATGTGTTTGTGTGTGATTCACAGACGTGGACCCCGCACTATTTTGTCCTGACCAGTAATAAGATTTACTATTCAGAGGAGACGTCTCACTACCAGACGACTGATGAAGAGGAGGACGACGAAGCGAAAGAGGTAGGGAGATGATTATGAAAAATAAACAAGATATAATAAAGTGTTTATCAGGTAAAGCTGATGCTCCCTCCCTCGGTCAGGAGTGTAACAACAACGAGCAGCACTGTGCCGAGCGCTGGTTCCACGGGAAGCTGGGCGGAGGTCGTGACGGGCGACAGGTGGCCGAGAAGCTCCTGCAGGAGTACTGCGAGGGGGGGGCCAAGGACGGAACCTTCCTGGTGCGGGAGAGTGAGACGTTTGTGGGAGACTACACCCTCTCCTTCTGGTCAGTTACACTGAAATCACACACTACACACTCAAATTGATCTCAGCTTCTTTTTGTTTTGGAGAAAGAAAGAAAGAAAGAGAAATAGGAATAAAAGAAGAGATAGCAGGATTATAGAAACACATTTATAAGAAAGTGATTGGGGGAGTTGAGTAAGGCAAGGCAAGGCAAGTTTATTTATATAGCACTTTTCAACACAAGGCAATTCAAAGTGCTTTACAAAAATGAAAGACATTAAGAAAATGGAATTTAAAAACAGTCATTAAAAAGAAAAGCTAATAAAATAAACATTAAAAGAAAATACACATGAATAAAAGTTACAGTGCAGTTTAAGATGTGAATAGTTCAATTCAAAGCAGCGACAAAAAGAAAAGTCTTCAGCCTGGATTTAAAAGTAGTAAGAGTTGCAGCGGACCTGCAGGTTTCTGGGAGTTTGTTCCAGATATTTGGAGCATAATAACTGAACGCTGCTTCTCCATGTTTAGTTCTGACTCTGGGGACAGAAAGCTGACCAGTCCCTGAAGACTTGTATTTTGAAATCTATTCTTTGACACACAGGAAGCTAGTGTAAAGACTTCAGAACAGGAGTGATGTGATCCACTTTCTTAGTGTTAGTGAGGACTCGAGCAGCAGCGTTCTGAATCAGCTGCAGCTTTCTAATATATTTTTTAGTGAGACCTGTAAAGACACCATTACAGTAGTCCAGTCTACTGAAGATAAAAGCATGGACAGGTGCAAACAATAAGGGCGGGGCAGGTAATCAGGTCAGTGATGATGGGGAGGAGTCAAACTACCTAAAATGAGAGGGGAGATTAGTACCAAAATAAAACAGGAAATGACAAACAGGAAATGCCAGACAACAAATATGATATGGTTTAAAGCTTACGAATCAATGAGAAAGTATGAGATATTGTATTTTTAAAGCTGCCTTTATGTTTTAGTTCTGTGCAATCTGGTTAAAATTTGAGCAATTTATTTAAGTATTGAATGTTTAATCAGTCTTTGTCTTCAGCCTGCCAGAGTTTTATAACAGATGAGTAGCGTTGAATATGCAAACGGTCCCTCCTCCTCCAGGCGCTCCGGTCGGGTCCAGCACTGCAGGATCCACTCCCGTCAGGAGTCGGGCTCCACTCGATTCTACCTTACCGACAACCTGGTGTTCGACAGCCTATACCGCCTCATCTGCCACTACAGAGACACGCCTCTGCGCTGCAACGAGTTTGAGATGCGGCTGCTCAGCCCCGTCCCTCAGCCCAACGCGCACGAGAGCAGAGAGTGAGTCATCAATGTCCCTTCACTACTGATGTATTTGAAAGCAGAGAGGAAAACTGAATAAAACAGATTTCTGTCTTCCAGGTGGTTCCACTCCAGTCTGTCACGTGTTCAGGCTGAACACATGCTGATGCGTGTCCCCAGAGACGGAGCTTTCTTAGTGCGGAAACGCAGCGAAAACAGCTCCTATGCCATCTCCTTCAGGTCGAAAAAACCCAAAGACAATCAATGAAGTCTATTTTTGAGAGTTTAACGTTCTGTTTAAATTTCCTTCTCTGTCCATCTGCCAGCAGGGCGGAGGGGAAGATCAAGCACTGCCGTATTCAGCAGGAAGGACGCCTCTTCATGTTGGGCAGCTCGGCAGAGTTCGAGAGTCTCGTGGACCTGGTGAGCTACTACGAGAAGCATCCTCTGTACCGCAAGATGAGGCTCCGCTACCCCATCAACGAGGACACTCTGGACCGCATGGGCACCGCGGTGAGACACACACAGATCAGGAATCACATATTAAATGTTTACATCACTGCTCCCGTGTTTTCCACTTAAAGTCACCAACTTGACAACCAACTGTTGACGTCCAGCACTCTGTCTGTTAACCTCTTTCCATCTCTTGCACAGTGTTGCTTTTTTCTACTGGGGACAGTTTAGCCATCATGTATCCAACGTTTGGTGCTCTCCTCGATTATAAATATGAATATTCAAAAAGTATTTTATGATCAAAATAAAAACATAATGTCCATCAGAAGTTTCAACCGTACATTGCTATTTATCAATCAACCAGTAATTGTCTGGCATCCTTGATGATAAACACCTAAATAATCAATTGGCATACTTCATTTTGTGGATTTCTCCTCATTTTGCAACTTAAATAGCGTTTTTTTATGCAATAAACTAGTGTCCGCCATTAAAGTCATGCATTCTTTTCACTGAGTGACTACTAATTCAAGTAATCTGTCTGATTCAAAAGCAACAATAAACAATAAACAAAATATAAATTGTATGTAGCAATAACGTGCACAACATAATTACCACAACTGATATTTGCTGTTATTGTACATACATGTGTATTGCAGCTTTCAATGCAGAATGAGTTCAATCGCGCCTTTTAAACCTAACCGCTATTATTTGTCATGGATGTGTCAGGAGCTCGACTACGGGGCGCTGTATGAGGTCCGCACCCCTCATTTCTACGTGGAGGCCAATAAGATGCCCACCGCTCGGGTAAGTGAGACTGAACTGTGGACCTCCAGTTTTATTCACTGTTAATCATCTAATCATTATCATATCATTCAACACATGATTAGCAGAGTTATTCCCTTTCGAAGCTAATATGGAGTATTTATTTCAGAATGTATTTATTCCATAGCCAAATTAACCTCTTTCTATTACTTACAATATCAAATTGTATTCCATGGTAGAGCAGAGTTTAGTTTTTGAAACTCTTGAACTCCAGTTTGAGAGCCTTTTTAGCTTATGGATGAGTTAGCGATGAAGAGAACAAAGAAAAGAAAGACACGTTGAAGGAAGAAAGGGATGTTCTTGAGTAAGGAAATAGAAACAGGATGTATAAGATTTAAACATGTTCTGACTTTTGCACCTCCTAGTGGTCATATGTAAAAGTTCACAGTGTCAGACAGACTGATGGTTCCTCTCCTGTTTCAGTGCACGGTCAAAGCTCTGTACGACTATCGAGCTCAGAGGGAGGACGAGCTCTGCTTCCCCAAACAGGCGCTCATCGTCAGTGTGGAGAAGCAGGATGGCGGCTGGTGAGTGCATCTCAGTGTACCATGTGACCTCCTGTTTGTGTGTTACTTCCACCTATTGCAGCTCCTAATGAACCTGTGTGCTGTGTTTAGGTGGCGAGGCGACTACGGAGGGAAGAAACAGCTGTGGTTTCCTGCAAACTACGTGGAGGAGGTCCCCAGCTCCCCCTCCAGAGAGCCGGACCAAGTGGTGAGTGAGGGGTGAGCTGAACAAAATGATCAGCTTGTGTTTCCAATCCTAATTTTGTTGTTGTTGTTGTCTCAGTCCACAGAGAACAGTCCTCTCGGGACGTTTCTTAAGGGCTTCATTGATGTTCCTACCTGCCATGTCGGTGAGTCCCGTAAACACATGCTTCAGAGCAATTTTTTACTTTTTATTTATAGACTTATACTGTCCAAACACTTGCTTGCTTTGGTTAAAATGCTCATTTATATTTTTTGAAGAAAAAGGTGGGGTAGCTAATTTTGGAGAAACCAGCTCGAGTGCGCTAGAATTTGAAAATACACAACCGGAAAAAATCTGCCACTTCCTTACAGAGCCCCTCCTCCAACACACACGAACGCGCACATGACCAATGAGGGCACGAGATAAGTTTGTGCACAGATGGAAGGCTGACAGGCAGGTAGGCCATCCAGTTATTTTAGCCGGGCCGGCTCAGATGATTGGTCGTACTTTTTACAGTAATACGGCTTCCACAGATGACATTTTTTTATGGATTTTTTGTCAAAGCACTTAAGATATTCAAATAAAATAAAAATTATAAAGCACATTTAAAAGCGATTTTTGGTCGAGCCAAAGTGCTGTACAGTACATATTGTACTGTGTTTTTTTATGTAATAAAAACACATTAATACAATCACAATAAAAGACAATAAATTACAACAGATATAGTCATGCTCCGCTCTGACTAGAAGGCCAGGGAGAAGAAGTGTGTCTTAAGAGTAGATTTAAAAACCCCTAGGGTCTGGGCCGACCTCACATGGAGGGGCAGAGTGTTCCAGAGCCTAGGGCCAGCTGCTGCGAAGGCTCGGTGCCCTCGGGTTTTGAACCTGGTCTTGGGCACTGTCAGCAGCAGCTGGTCAGCCGACCTTAAAGCTCTGGCTGGGGTGTAGCGATGGAGGAGTTCGGCTATATAGGCAGGAGCCAGCCCATTTAGGGCTTTAAAAACAAATAAAAGGATTTTAAAATCAATTCGGAACCGAATTGGAAGCCAGTGAGGCCAGAATTGGGGTAATGTGGTCACGTTTTTTGTGGCCAGTCAGAAGACATGCTACTGCGTTTTGGACTAGCTGCAGGCGTTTAATTGAGGCCTGTTCCAGATCCACGTATAGAGCATTACAGTAATCCAGTCTTGAGGTTACAAAGGCATTAATAACCCTTTCTAAGTCTTTAAAAGATAAATACGACTTGGTTTTGACCAATAGTCTCATTTAAAAAAAGCAGGATTTGACTACGGTGNGCAATTTACACAAAATTGCAGAAATCATACATTTTGCTAGATTGTCAGACGGATTGAAGACGTCTGTAGATAATTCCTGCTCTTTTACAGGATTGTGAGGTTTTTGTAGGATGTCTGTGTAAAATGTAATCGGACAGCTTTATACTTACCTTCCATCTAAATTATTGTTAATTTCTTAGATTAAAGGTGGGGTACGTAAGTTTGAGAAATCGGCTTGAGATACACTTTTTGTTGTATTCCATGGAATGCTCTTAACATCCCGATAGCAATGAATATTATAACATCCCTCTCGCCTTCTCAGAGATGTTTTCTCTGCAGTTGGAGCAAGTATTTTATTGCTTATAAACACCTCTCTTAGCTCAGGATGTGTCCCAGCTGCCTTCAAACATGCCGTGGTCAAGCCACTACTTAAAAAGAAAAATCTCGACCCCTACATTCTCGCAAATTTTAGGCCCATCTCCCAGCTACCTTTTTTATCTAAAGCGAGTAGTTTACGCCCAGCTGCAGTCTTTCTTAACCACGCATTGAATCCATGAAAAGTTTCAGTCTGGCTTCAAACCCATGCACAGTACTGAAACAGCCCTTTTAAGAGTTTTTAATGATCTGCTCCTAGCCACCGACTCAGGTAGCCCAGCTGTCCTGGTGCTGTTATACCTGACAGCTGCCTTCGACACTGTGGACCATAGCATCCTGTTGTCGCGTCTCGAACAGTCCGCAGGCATCACAGGCTCTGCCCTTGCATGGTTCAGGTCCTACCTGACAGACCGTATCTTCTCAGTGCAGCTAGGTGCCTTCTCCTCTGCCAAAGCCCCTCTTACCTGTGGGGTTCCCCAAGGCTCGATTCTGGGTCCCATCCTTTTTCTACAGTACATACTACATACATTCTCACAAAACACAATATTGCCTTCCATTGCTACGCCGACGATGTACAGATCTATCTTCCTCTGAAAGCAAATGTCAAACACTGACTACAGCAGTTGATGGACTGCTTAACAGAGATAAAATCCTGGCTGAGCCAAAACTTCCTCACCCTCAACGAGAGCAAGACTGAGGTCATCTTTTTGGATACCCAAACCTCCAGCCTCTCCGTTGATATTCTGGGCTCTCTCAACCGAAAACATCCTCCCCTCTGTCACTCCAAGGTTCATGACAGAGGGGAGGATTTTTTCGTTGAGAGAGCGCAGAATATCCAACCGGAGAGGCCTGGAGGTTGCGGGTCCCAAAAAGTGACCTCAGTCTTCTCTCGTTGAGGGTGAGGAAGTTTTGGCTCAGCCAGGATTTTATCTCTGTTAAGCAGTCCATCAACTGCTGTAGTCAGTGTTTGACATTTGCTTTCAGAGGAAGATAGATCTGTACATCGTCGGCGTAGCAATGGAAGGCAATATTGTGTTTTGTGAGAATGTATGTAGTATGTACTGTAGAAAAAGGATGGGACCCAGAATCGAGCCTTGGGGAACCCCACAGGTAAGAGGGGCTTTGGCAGAGGAGAAGGCACCTAGCTGCACTGAGAAGATACGGTCTGTCAGGTAGGACCTGAACCATGCAAGGGCAGAGCCTGTGATGCCTGCGGACTGTTCGAGACGCGACAACAGGATGCTATGGTCCACAGTGTCGAAGGCAGCTGTCAGGTATAACAGCACCAGGACAGCTGGGCTACCTGAGTCGGTGGCTAGGAGCAGATCATTAAAAACTCTTAAAAGGGCTGTTTCAGTACTGTGCATGGGTTTGAAGCCAGACTGAAACTTTTCATGGATTCAATGCGTGGTTAAGAAAGACTGCAGCTGGGCGTAAACTACTCGCTTTAGATAAAAAAGGTAGCTGGGAGATGGGCCTAAAATTTGCGAGAATGTAGGGGTCGAGATTTTTCTTTTTAAGTAGTGGCTTGACCACGGCATGTTTGAAGGCAGCTGGGACACATCCTGAGCTAAGAGAGGTGTTTATAAGCAATAAAATACTTGCTCCAACTGCAGAGAAAACATCTCTGAGAAGGCGAGAGGGATGTTATAATATTCATTGCTATCGGGATGTTAAGAGCATTCCATGGAATACAACAAAAAGTGTATCTCAAGCCGATTTCTCAAACTTACGTACCCCACCTTTAATCTAAGAAATTAACAATAATTTAGATGGAAGGTAAGTATAAAGCTGTCCGATTACATTTTACACAGACATCCTACAAAAACCTCACAATCCTGTAAAAGAGCAGGAATTATCTACAGACGTCTTCAATCCGTCTGACAATCTAGCAAAATGTATGATTTCTGCAATTTTGTGTAAATTGCACAGTATTTGCTTCAAAATGGTTGAACTGGATATGTCATCACACTTCTACTGCAATTTCTGTAAATGATCCAACTAACCAACCAAATCTTGAACACATAAATACACTTCCTGATACATTTCACCCTGTGGAGAATTTTGACTCTTCTTCTGGCTTATAAAGCACTAAATGGAAAGGCACCATCATACCTATTGCACAATTGTAATCCTCTATTGCTGCTCTAGGGCATTAAGCTACCAGAGTGCAGGTCTTTTAGTGGTTCCCAGAGTCCGAAGAACAAGATCAGGAGTCAGAGCGTTCAGCTACTAAGCTCCCTTTCTCTGGAACCAACTTCCTGTTTTTATTATGGAGGCAGACAGTGTCCAGAAGAGTGTGTTGAAGACCTTCCTTTTAAATAAAGCCTATACTTGGAGCTGGTTTAAGATTATGCTGTTTGTCCCCCTGAGTCCTACATTTTATGGTATTTATTCTATTGTTGTATTGTATTTTGACTGTCTTTTTGTTGCATTGTATCTTGTATCTATTTGATTTGTGTTTCACTTTCTATCTTGTGTTTTTATTATTTGATTTATCTGTTAACACTGCCATCAATGTTTGTTTATCTCTAAAGCCCATTGAGAAATGCGTGTTTTGTGATAACTTGCTATATAAATAAACTTTGATTTGATTGTTGTAACCTGTTAGCCCTCTTTGGAAACGAACATCTAAAAAGTCTCAAAAACTACTTTTTCTGAACGGAACTCTCTCTCTCTTACCTTACCTCTTCCTCTCTCCATCGCTCTGTCCAGTGGTGCTTAAGGACGGGAAGAACTCTCGCCCCCATGTGATCACCATCCAGTCCCAGCAGCCGTCCACTCTCCCGGTGCAGACCCTGGACGTGGCGGCCGACTCTCTGGAGGACCTGACGGGCTGGGTGTCCCGGATCAGAGAGGCCACACAGAACGCTGACGCACGGGTCAGTACGCAGGGAGGGACAACTTCATCTCGTGGGAAATGTAGCCATTTTACAGACATTACATTTTTAACAATCAGATTCACAATTCTTTATTTATCCCATGAGGAAATTTGTTTTGATGACAGTTGCTCCATTACAAATGTAATAACTTAAGAAAATAGAATAGAAAAAGTATATAAACATAAGAAGTTAAATTAAAATGTGCAATAAGAAAATAAGATAACATAAAAAGTAAGAAAATGTAAGCCTAAGGAGTTAAAGTAAAAATGTGCCACAGGAAAATAAAATAGAATACAAATATAAAATAATTTTTTTTATAATAACATGAAAATAGAAAGATAAAATGAAATAGAATGAAAACAAAATATTAAGATAATAAGTTAAGTAAAAAACCTGCAAGTTGTGCTTCCATAAACATACAACAATTAACATGTTAAACCTGAATATTGCAATATATACATGTGTTTATAAGTATTGATAAAGATATTGATGAGGAACCATACTATGGCTCAAAATGCACAGTGATGATCCTAAGTTTTATTAATGTTGCACAATTGAATAATTACAAGTACACAGTATAAGTATTGTCAGAATTGCCCAGTTACAGAGGGTGAAAGCCACTGATTGGTAAGTCAAGTCAATACATTAAAGTATTTTTAAGAATCATTTCGGATTAAACCTTTGACCATGTTGCTGCTCTTTCTAAAGTAATCCAATATTTCAAAGGCTCTTTTTATATTGACTGAACAGTATCTCCATGGTAACAGATGCAGGAGGAGAAGCAGATGGAGAGGAGGAAGAAGATTGCGGTGGAGCTGTCAGAGCTGGTGGTCTACTGCAGACCCGTCCCCTTCAACGAGGACAGTAAGGACCAAACTGCTCTCTCTTCTTCTCTTGCATCACTTGTAAAGTTTCCATGTTTCACTATTTTTTTTTCTTTTTTTCTTTTGCTGCTGTTTCAGAGATCGGGACAGAGAGGGCGTGTTACCGGGACATGTCCTCCTTCCCGGAGACGAAGGCGGAGAAGTTTGCGACCCGCAGCAAAGGGAAGCGCTTCCTGCAGTACAACCGCCGGCAGCTCTCCAGAGTCTACCCCCGAGGACAGAGGCTGGACTCGTCCAACTACGACCCGCTGCCCATGTGGCTCTGCGGCTCCCAGCTGGTGGCTCTCAACTTCCAGACCCCAGGTCAGTGTGCAGATATACATGTACGTTTACACAGTGTCAGAAAAAAAGAGAAGGGCACATACAAGAAATCAACAAGTAAGTAAAACATTATATAAAAAGGTATTGTGAAAATGTTTTTCCTCATATTCAATGTTGGTTGCTAATTACAAGTTAAGCGCCACTGACAAAATACATGTTCTGCTTGTTTTTGGATCTCAAGCATGCAAATACAGTTTTTGATGAATTCAAATGTATTTATTTACTTATTAGAATGTTTACCCTAATTATCACATTTTGCTTGCATTTGAGTGACCACCAGGGAAATAGAACAGTATACTACATAGAATAAAATGAAAAAACATATGCTTGATCGCATTTCAGGGATAAATCTAAGGGGTAAAGAGATGGTTTAAAGAGGTCCTGTCGTGTGTTTTGGGTTTCCTGTAGTGTGTTCGTGTGTTCTATAGGTTTTTGTGCATGCAAATGGTCTGCAAAGGCTCAAACCCCAAAGTTCCCTCCGCACTCCCCCTGGCTAGCACTTAAACACATTGCTTGTGAGGGTGGGACATGACCAATCAGAGCAGACTGGGCTCTGGTTTCAGACAGAGGGTGAAAGAGGTGCTGCAGCACGGCAGTATGAGAAACATAAATACATTTTTGAACATTAAAGCATGGAGACATGTCATAGTAGGCACTAAATATAAATATGAACCTGAAAATGAGCATAATAGGGCCCCTTTAATGGTTTACTGCTACAGAAAAAATAATCATTTTCAAAATGTGTTTAAAGAATATGTTTACCTCTTCAGGTTGATTATTCAAATGATCTGAAGCGAAAGAAAAACAATATCCTGGTAAAAATTGTTGGAGGTTTGACTTAACTAGGTGACAAGGTGATCTTGAACGCATAATTACTACCCTCATTTACACACTTATTTAAGGTTGCAGGCTCTTAACAATAAGGATGTCAGTTGTATGATAAAAAAGTAATTGTGTTTGATAAATCTGAAATGTGTGTGTAGATAAACCCATGCAGCTGAACCAGTCCCTGTTCATGCTGGGAGGGAGCAGCGGCTTCGTTCCCCAGCCCGAAGTTATGAGCGATGACGCCTTCGACCCTTTCGACAAGGACACCCTACATGTGGAGCCAATCACCATCCAGTTACAGGTCAGATCCATCATTTTCTGGATAAAAGAAAAATATTTTCTCTTGACATTTTTATTTAGTTTTTGCTGTTTTATGCTTATGTTTTAAAGTAAAAAACAGTGTGCCCGGAGACTAAATATAGTATGATAAGAAAATGGCTCCATCTTAGAAACAGCAGGAAGCACAATCAAGCGTTGCATGAACTCCTAACAAGTTGAATATCAACCAACACACTGCAGAACAAAATGAAATGGAAGATGTACTGTAATATATTTGCTAAAAGTTAGTCTGAACCAGATTAATATTGATAATTGAACTTTATTGATCCAAAATTAGGTAAGTTATAGCAGAAACATACTTTATTTCAAGACTTTAGACCAGGGGTGCCCACACTTTTTCAACTTGGGAGCTACTTTTAAAATGACCACGCCCAAATGATCTAGGACAGGGCCGCCCCGCCCCTGCCCAATCTGTGTCGCGAGCGGGGGGGGGGTGGGGGCAGATGAGGAGGTAAGGCCCCCTCATAACTGTATGAACCCGTATGGCACAATTCCCGATCGACGTATTGGGCACCCCTGCTTTAGACCAACCAGAACCTATATTTTTCCTTATCATACGAAATCAAAGCTTGGGCCACAGTTGTATTAACAGTCTCTTAAAACTTAAGATTGAGATGTTCGTTGTTCTATCTGCTTTTCACACTTGTTTCTCGTCTTGAATCAGGTACTCGGAGCCCGTCACCTTCCTAAAAATGGCCGCAGCATCGTCTGTCCCTTCGTGGAGGTGGAGATCTGTGGAGCAGAACACGACAGCTGTAAATGCAAGACGGACGTCGTGGGTAAGACAACGTGCTGCCGCCTGGCTGCTACATACGTGATTTACATTGATGTGTTCACTGCCTGAGAGCTGACCATCTATCCTCCTGCTCCCCAGCTGATAACGGGTTGAACCCTGTGTGGGTGCAGAGGCAGTTTGTGTTCGACATCCACAACCCCAGCTTCTCCTTTCTGCGCTTCACTGTCTACGAAGAGGACATGTTCAGCGATCCTAACTTCCTGGCACAGGCCACCTTCCCTGTCCGTCTGCTACGCACAGGTGAATGTGGAATAATAGCAGAACCCCAGCACATTCAATGTCTTGGTTAAGTTCTGAAAGAAGCCAACAGTAATTAATGTTCTGAGGGAAGAGGACAACAAAGTATTTACAACAGCATGCACAAATATAATACAAAGACACACCTTTAAAAACATACTAGGCCATGTCATCTGGTCCTAATAAGCTCCTCTTTTTTTCGAAATTGAATTCTTTTTTTTACCGGGCATAAATGACATCATGAGATACAGTTAAAACAAAAACTCAAAGAAGAGAGAAAAAAACAAACGGATTAATTGATTATTAAAGTTGTTTACCTGCGTTACATAGGGACATGACTACTTAACACTCCTTTTCTATTGGCTATCGCTCCAACGCATTTTACGTGATTACGGCCAAGGGGCGGCACAACCAGCTAACCAATCAGAGCAGACTGGGCTCATGTGATAACATGGTCTTATGATGTTAACTGTAGAACTGTAAATCATTTTTGCCAAAAAGTGTTGATTTAGTGGTGTGTGTGTCCAGGCTACAGGAGCATCCCCCTGAAGAACAGCTACAGTGAAGAGCTGGAGCTGGCTTCTCTTCTGGTCCACATAGAGATCGTCAATGCAAAGGTAAACCAGTTGTTGGGGAGATAAAACAAACAAATGTGTGGTGTTATAAAAAAACAAATGCATAGCACATTTGTAAGAGTTTTCGCACATTATAAAGTGAAGTTTTTCCTTTACACGGAGGTAGTGCTTCCTGTTGTCCAGTGGTCTCCAGACAGTTCAATACATATAGCTTGTACCGTTACCAGTGCTTTTTTTACCTTTTCACTGCCATGCAATTAATGGTACACATCCCTGCTTTTGAAGCAACTTCGGGTTAAACTTAGAAATGTGATTCCTTTGCGGTTTTTTTTTTTGACAGGTTACGGTTTAAAGGTTGATTACTAGCGTTAATGTGTAAACGTTGACAGCCCTGCTATTTATGTATTAGCATCTATGCAATTAGGATTATAGGAGAGAAGTTATAAATGATAACTTCCACTTTCCTCTCCGTCTCCTTCCTCACTGTGGCTGCAGGAGGAGGACGATGAGAACTTGTACATGTCCATCCAGCGGCTGCGGGATCGAACCAGCGAGCTGTCCACCCAGGTGTCCCTCCTGGAGAGGTCAGGGTCCGGGGACCTTGGCTACCAGCAGAGCCTGGAGGAGCTCAGAGCGGCTCAGGACCAGCTGAGCGAGCTGGTGGAGGCCCGGAACCGCAGGTGACTGACCACGAAGATTCAGAAAGGAAGCATGTACTTAATCATTTGTTCCGACAGACATTTATTCATTATTCATTTTATTATATTACATTTTGTAGATGATAATTCAATTAATTAGTGTTTTTCACATATTTACTAGATTGAGGCCGCCTGCCACTAGTCTATATATAGTAGTTTATATAAAAGTCAAAAGAAGATATGGCTCTTTTGGACATCTTCATGTCCTTCTATATTTTAATGATTTTTTTGTGCATTCACTAAACACTTTTATGACATACCATATCAGTCCGCTATGAATTTTTTTTATATTTTAGTGTTACCATAAATGTATGCCATTAAAATGTCTTCAACAGTCATAAAACAAATCATAGCAGCACAGTCAAATGTATGCTAGTAGATATTCAAATGATATGTTCATATATAGTATGTTTTTTTGTTGAAATCAAAAATCTGCTTGTCTTTATCAAACCTTACCTTTATCTGGCCTGTTCCAGGTTATTCTGAAATAATAATTGTTAGATCTGAAGATGATCTAAAAACGCAGGCATGGGATGACATTGTACAGCAGATATATAAGAAAAATAATATTGATTTTCTGCTTTTCCAGGCTGATGGAGAAGAAGAGGAGGGAGAAGCTCAGGCAGCAGGTGACGGCAAAGCGCAGCTAGCCCCCCTACCCACCAGAGGGCGCTACACTGCGACTCAAACTGTGGCGGAAACTTCCCTCCAGAGCTGTGAGAACAGGCTCTGCAGCTGCCACTTGCGATCCTTTTATAACTGGAATAAAGAACATGTTCTTTCACAGTAGAATGTGAGACTTTAAAGTGCTATGCTGGACAAAAGCAGAGATACAAAAGACAAACAGAAGCATCTCATGGACTTAGAGAAAACCTAAAGAAACTAAGCTATTTAAACAATCATGGACCTGAGGCTGAAACACATTAAGAGCCAACTGGATATGGGTTCCTTGTGAAGCTTTCATAGAAACCATTCAGTCACAAAGTAAATCTGCACCAAATGTGTTTTAATTCTTCATTCAAGTTGTTTCCAAGCACAAATACTCAGCTTTCTATTTGTTATATGATCATGAATTATTAAGCCAAATGAAGATGCCACCTTGAGCTTTAGAAAATATTAAGAGGCATTTTTAATAGATTTGATGATCCAATTTGTCGATAATGTAACTTTTCGAAACTAAACTTTTTAAAGTATATGGTAGGCTATGATGCATAAGAAATGAACTGAAATGAACTCACACTTTTGGAAAATGAAGCTCACACTTTTGGAAACTTAGTTTGAAGCTCCATCCAGATCCTGAACTATGTTTGGTTCGTAGTGAGAAAGACAGGTCGATGTTGCCAATGTAGAGTATAATTACTACTCTTAAAAACAGTAAATAAATACTTTCTCTACAACTGGAATATTGGCCCTTAAAGTAGGGTGACCAGACGTCCCCGTTTTCCGGGGACAGTCCCCGTTTGCAGCCTAGCAAACAAGTTATTATTCATGTATGTGGCCTTCGATGTTGCCAATGTAGAGTATAATTACTACTCTTAAAAACAGTAAATAAATACTTTCTCTACAACTGGAATATTGGCCCTTAAAGGGAAAACGACTCACAAACGAGGAGGAATCCATTCGCTTCACTCGGAACATTCTCATGAAATGGGTTTAAAGGGCTTTAAGACTGAAGTCTTCTCCTCCTGATTGAGACAGTGTTTTTTTTTGGGGAGATCATATGAAGCCATGTGGCGAGTGGCTTCTGAGCACAAAGTGGACAAACAAATCCTCACCAAGCCTCACAGAAGTTCTTTCTCAAGTTGCAGTTTTGCACCTCGATCGAGAAGCTCTTCAAAGGGCTCTAAATAAATCTATACTACCTTAAAAGGGGGGTGAGGATTCCGAAGGGGGAGACAATATTCCTCACAGCACCCCCTGGATGTCACCTGCACAGGGCTATCACATTGAAACTAGAATTGTTTCCCCTAGCCACCCATCAGAACCAGGATCCGTTCACATCATCGGGCTCTTATCAACAGATGTGTCATACCTGGTCCTGGATCTGCCAAAAAAATGCTTCAAAAATGACCCCCTGCATGGCTTCATACCTAAAAACGCCCCTTCCTACTTGTAGCTACTTCTCCTTCCCATCATCCTCTTTTCTTATTGTATATAACTGCTTTTATTTATCAAACCGATGTTTTAATGGATGACAAATCATTGAAGACATACTGTAACGTTGTTTAGAATATATCATATATTGTTCACACAAACCTCTCTTTTCCTGCAGTTGCACTGTGTTGGGACTTCTATGCAAAGGTCTTCTTCAATTTGACTCCTGTTGTGTTCCCTTCTGTATCTATGCTAACTGTCCAGTATTATTACTCTGCATTACAAACCCTGTCCAAGTTTCACTTTATAAAAGTTGATTCATACTGTATCTACGTTTGTGCTTCTAATAATAATTAGGGGTGCACCGAATGGGAAATTCTTGGCCGAAACCGATACCGAAAATAGGAAAGAGTTGGCCGAAAACCGAATGCCGAAAGGCCGAAAATGATTAATAGAAATATATATAATGTATACATTTTTTACCAATGTTGTTCAGTTGCCTGATTATGGAAAAATAAATGATTATGGCAAAACTTAACTTAAATAATAATCACTATTATGGGTCCATAAAACATTTATTCAGCACTTTTGAATGCATACAGTACATTAATTTCAAGTCAAGTGCATTTTATTTTCTCTGTAGGATAACTACAACAAAGTGCATTCAGAACAAAGCCAAGGTGCTTTAAAACTGCATAAACATCTGGGCCAGTAGGCCTGCAACAAAGTAGTGTAAATAAAGACTGTAACAGCCAGGCCTTCAACAACAACAAATGCACCTCTAAGTGCATGCATACAAATGTGCAAACTGGATAAATCCACATGAATGTAACTATTTACAAATGAAATTACAATTGAATTTCAATAATCTGTAAATAAGGCTGTCTGTCCTCATAAGCAAAGTAGTAAACATTGTATAAAGATACATAAAGTGAAAACTGGATACAAAATCCACAATCAATTACAAATTAAATTACAATTTCAAGAATCTGCAAATAAGGTGGTCTGTCCTCATGAGCAATGTAAACA